GTTGGGAGGAAGCAGCTGCGCTCTCGGGTCTCCCTCTTGCACGATGTTGGAGATGGTCGCTCGGCGGAGGCTCCGTTTCAGCTGGTGGAGCTCAGCCCGGAGCCCGTTTCAAAGCAGCGCGCCCGCCTGCTGAAGGCGGAGGGGATCGGCCCGTGCGGCCCCGCTCCCCGGCAGGCTTGGGACGCGCTTCAGGCTTGAGGCTTTGAGTCTGGCAACGTCTCGGAGCCCTGGCCCTGTGAATAAACTCGATGGCCGGCGGGGCTGATGCTGTCTGTCCGTCCTGTCTGTGTGGGTCTCAGGCTCTGGAACCGCTCATCTGTTCTTTCCGAAGGGTGAATGCTCTTTTCCCTGTGGCACCGTCGCTGCCTGCCACTCTCAGCCGGGTGTGCCCAGCCTGCCTGCGTGCCCGGGCCGTGCACCGAGCTGCCTGGACGGAGTGTAAATAGTTTGGTGGCCAGTTCTCAGCCGCCGCGGCTGAGGTGCCTCTTTGGGCTCCGGTTTCTACTCTTTCTCCTGCAACCGGGCATTTGGGGACGTCTCGGGCAGACAAATACCAGCTTGGAACGTCCTGTCTGTCCTGCCAAGGGGGTCTTTCCTCCCACTCTCACCAGCGCCTCGTGTGCCAGCGGCTGCCGAGCCCCTGGGGGTGCCAGCTCGCAGCCCCCAACTTGACGTCTGCGTCCTGCCGGGCCGACGGCAACACCCGCTGCTCACCAGTCGCTGTGGCGTGTACCGTGTGGGGCGGGGACCCCTGCCCCTCGCCTGGGCCTCTGCACTCTTTTTAATCGCTGTTTAATAAAATGACAGTTATCCCGAGCGGGATCCGCGCTGTCGGCCTCTGACTGCAGGGAGCCCTTCCCTGCGCCGCGTCTGTCCCTGTGCCGCTGCCGCGGTAACCGGGGTGCCGTTAACGGCATGGCTGGCGCAGAGGGCGGTTGCGGGGTCCGTGCGGCGCCGGCCACGGCAGTGGCAAGCAGCCAGACCCCCTCGCTGTGGCAGGAGGAGGTGGCTGTCCTGGGGGTCCTGGCAGCAGCTGGGGACAGCGGGGTGCGACGTCCCCCTCGTGCGGGTTAAACCCCAGACCCCCCAAACGCGTCGCTTTGGTTGCAGGTCCTGGCGAAGGGGAAGGCCTGCGCAAGGCTGCCGGAGAGGTACAGCCGGCAAAGGGAGCGCTGGGGGGCAGCAGGCGAGGGGGAGCCCTGGCGTGGGGTGAGCCGGGGGGGGGGATGGGTGCTGGTGTCCCCCCGGCACCCCGTCCTGCCCACCCTGTGTCCGCGCAGCTGCAGGCAGGCGGCCGGGGAGCACCCGCAGTGCTGGGAGAGGATCTGGGCCGCAGCCTGCGGGGCGCTGCAGTGGCGCGTGGAGTCGGAGCTGCGCCTCGCCGGCAAGGAGCAGATGGCGGTGAGGCCGGGCGCGGGTCTGGCACGGCTGGGTGCACCCAGCCCTGTGCCGCCAGGGTTGGGTGCCCTGCTCCAGTACCGGATCCCGGGGGACCGTGCCTCCCAGTGGTGGGGTTCAGCACCAGGTCCTGCGCCCAGCAGATCCGCCGAGCCGCCCTGCACCGGCTCCTCCAGGACGAGCACCAGCAGCACCAGCGGGAGCTGCGCCAACTCGGGAAAGCCTTCTACGTGGAGCGGCTGTGAGCGCCCGACCCGGCGGGCTCAGCGCCGGCCTGGCATCACCCGGCTGCCTGGCAGGGAATAAAACACGTTGAGCAAGATGGGGGCTGCGTCTGGTGCGTGCCGGGACGCGGGACAGCCCCGAGCGGAGGTGGAGGGAAGGGGCAGCCACGCGATTGCTGTGGCTGGAATCCGGCAACGTTGCCCGCGACCGTACACGTGCCGGATCCTGCGCACGCGGTCCCGGCCATGGCCACGCCAGGAGATGGCAGCACGGCCGGCGTGCCTTCGCCAGCCCTGCGCGCTCCGCGGCTGGGTCCCGCTCCCGGCCGTGCCGCCATCAGCCATGCACTCCCGTCCCCTGTGGCACGGTGCTCCTGGCCGTGCAGCACAGCCCCATGGCAGCAGGGAGAGGAGCCTGGCCGGACTGGGTGCGATGCTCCCTGGCCCCGCTCACCGTCCGGGCACCCCTGAACCCCCGTCTGCTCCCCTACTGGGGGGCGCCCGTCCCCTGCCTCCCGTCCCCGCTGCCTGCACCTGACCTTGGTGTCTCCCGGCCCCAGGGCCCATCAGTGCCTGCCCTGGCTCTGCTTATTGACAGGGCTGGGGGCCGCCGGGCCGGCACCCCCTGCCCACGGCCCTTCATTAGCTCGGCTGTCGGGTTGCATCACATCAGCCGCTGCTGCACGCGTGTCCCCAGCTCCCGGCACCGTGCTGCCGCCATATGTGTCCCTGCTGTCCCCGCTGCCACCCTCCCCACGCGGCCCTGCCGCCACCGCCATGGGGCTGGAGCCCCTGGTCCCCCAGCCCAGGCAGGCAGCAGGGCAGGAGCTGTGCCCCTGTCCCCCTGTGGCACTCGGGGCTCTGGCTGCCCCGTGTCCTGCCCCGTTGGCCCCCCAAAGTCTGGGCCCCCACAGAGCCTCCAACGCCATTCCCAAGGTCGGTGCATCCCGCTGCGGCGAAGCACCGGCATGGCGTGGGGAGACACGTGCCCCCCGAGAGACCCTGCGTGCCCTCGTGGCTGGGTGCTGCCCGCCGGGGCCCAACGGCCACCCCAGAGCAGGTCTGGGGTCCTGCCTTTGTCACCCAGCAGTGCCCAGCACGGCGGCCACATCTGCATCAGGGACGGGGCAGGGCGACAGGCGGTTGCCTCCTCTGACCGCCCCACGGAGGGAATGCTCCGGTGGATAGGGGGTCCCAGTGGCTCCCCCAAAGCGAGGGAACAGGGATGCAGGAGGAGGGGACGCGGGGCACAGCTCCCCAGCACCAGCCAGGGCTCGTCCTTGGGCAGGGTCACGCGCAGCCCCTTGGTGGTGCAGAGCCCGCCGGGACGGGGCCGGCTCCCCGGTATTGACGTCCCCGCTAATGACAGCGGAGTGTGACCGGGGGCAGGGGCAGGCGGCGCGGGGCCATCGACCCATATCGACCGGCAGCGCTCAGCGGCAAGGGCGCGGGGGTCCGCGGAGGGGGCAGGGGGACATAGATGGGTGGTAATTAATGGGAACGAGGCCACGTGTGTGGGGCCAGGGCGCTCACTGGCCATGTCCCCGCACCGGGTGCAGCTGAGCGCGGTTATAAATGGTGGCCGGGCGGCCCCTGAGCCAGTCCACCGAGGAGCCCCCCGAGCCGGCCCAGGTAAGGCGGCGACGGACGTGGGGTCCCCTCAACCCCGGGCACGCAGGGACAGGCAGGCAGCACTGCCTGCTGTGCCATGCCGTGCCGTGCCATGCCATGCCGTGCCAGTCCATGACATGCTGTGCCATGGCCTGCCATGGCATGCCGTGCCAGGAGACCGTGCCCGCGCTGCCCTGCTCCGGCTTCGTTTCCACTGCAGGATGGCTCCTGCTCCAGCACCGGATCCCAGATCATCCCAGTGTCGGTGCAGCCGCCCAGGCGGGCTCCGGACACCAGGGTGCCACCTGCACGGTGCCCGGGGGGGGGTCCTGCCTGGGCAAACAGCGAGGAGCTAACCCACCCCCGCTCTCAGCCGCTCCTTCTCTCCTTCTCTTGCAGGGAGCTGAGCCCTGGGTCCCATCCGCCTCCGCCTGCCCCTGCCTCTGTCTGATATGTTTGATATTAGGTTGTTTTATTGGAAAACCAACTAAATATCAAACATATTCTTACAGCGCCAGGGATGCCCAGCGTCGACCTGGCGAGATGCTCCCTGCGCCCTCCCGTGGGCAGCGGGGAGCACGGGGGGGTCCCTCCGTGCCCCTTCCCACACCCCCTGCCCGCTCGATCGCTGCTGCAATAAAACCCCTCTGCCCGCACCGCGCGCCCGTCTCTGCGAGGCCGGGGAGAGGGAGCCGGGAGCTGCCATCCCCGGGGGCTGGCGGAGGTTTGGGATGGCGGCGGGGTCAGCGCTCAGCACCTGTCCCCCCGCTCACGCCTGGGATGATCCCAGGACAAAGGCGCGTGGCCCCGTGCCCACCGCTGGCCCCGCTGCCCTGGTGCACGGGGTTATTTATGGCTCCCGGGGCATGGAGGTGCAGTGGCCGCTCGCTCGGGGCCCTTTGTGGGCACCGTCCCTCCTGGCGCCCTGCCCGGGGAGCTGCCACCGGGGTCGGTCTCCGTCTCCTGACCCCCTCAGCCCCCAAAATCTGTCCCTGGATGGGAACAGTGGGTCTCGCCTGTGGGTCCTCTCTCCCAACAGGACCTTGTGGCCGGCGTGAGGAGGCTGCTAATCCCCCGGCTGCGTAGGAAGTGCTGCCGCTCTCCCTGAGAATTCCTCCCCGTGCCTGGGGAATTTGCTCCTCCAGCTGCCAACAGCATCTTCTGCCTCGCCGCCAAGCATCAGCGTGACTGGAGCCGGGCTCGGGGCTCAGCGGGCTCCCAGGGGGCTCTTCCCGGGGTGTCGGGCTTGGATCCCTCCGCAGCTCCCTCCTGAGCCAAACAATTTGGGCCAGGGGCTGCTGCTAAGCCCCTGCTCTTAAAATAGAGCTGGGCTGAGCTCGCCCTTTTCCACGCCACCCCCAGGCATGGGTAAATGTCAGCTCAGGGGCCACCAAAACATCCCGAGCCCCTGGTGGAGTGCAAACCTGGGGGGGCTTCGCTGCCAGTGCCGCACGGACCCGGCTCAATGCCTGCCCGGCGTGTCCCGAGGGAGAGCCGGGTGGGAGCACGGTGTCCCTGCGACACCGGCCAGGGTGTCCCATTGCACGGGGGGGGGGAGCGGGTGGCCGGGCGCGTGCGGGAC